AGGAACACTTATCGCAACAAAACAAACATTCTCTCTCCTTTCTACTAAATACTAATCAACTCTTCGCGCAAACAATTCTCTTAAATATTAATCATTTTTTCTTCACAGTTTCTATAATATATTTATCATAATAAATTATATTTAAGAAGACAATCTGTGTCTAAAATAATAATTAAAGACTTGTTTTATATATATGTTCGTTTAAATATTTTATTTTTTGTAAACTTCTGTAAGTTATTATAGGGAAGGATGAAACACAAACATATATTTTGGTATTTTAATCCGCCTGCTTCTTAATTAATTTAAATTTTTAATAATTTAATTAGCCAGCTTCATATTTTATTAAGTTGGTATGTTTCTACTTAAATCCGCCTGTTTTTATCTTAAACTACGAAGGTACTTTTACATTTAATAATACCTACCTAACATAAATCCGCCTGCTTCAAGTTTATTTAAATATTAAAATCCGCCTACTTTTTTACAAATTGTAAAAACAAGTTTTAATATAATATCTGAAAAGTAAGATTGTAAAACTTAAAAACTTGCCAAGTTTTAAAGACAATTTCTTTAATATTAAAATCCGCCTGTTTTACAAATTGTAAAACCTATTTTTCTTTGATTTGTAAAACATTAAAACTCGACAAGTTTTAATAATCAATGACACTTCAAGTTTTATTTTTTCTGCAATTGTAATTACAATTCTTTATTAAATTTTATTTCCATTCATTCCTTTTAAATAAATAAAAGTATTATCTCCTCTTCCTTTTCAATTTAACACTTTTTTGTTGATTTTCTTTGGTCTTTTATTTAAGTTATTTTTTTTCATTTTCTTATTTGCTTATTCTTTTCCGTTTTCAATTTATATAAAATGCAATCACATTTTTTCCTATATTTTGCAGTTATTTTTATTTAAAAAATTAGTACTTTTTTTGACGTTTTATTGAAAGAAAATAAAAATTCTTAGCCTAACACAATTTTAATTTTTTTATCTTGAAAAAAATTTTTTCTCTCTAAAAGGATGTAAAGTTGTAGTTTTGTTTAATTTGTATAGTGCAATTAATTAAAATTCCGCCTGCTTCAGAAATATTAGTTTAATAAACTTTAATTTTTTTCAAGTTTCTTTTTTAAGTTTACAAATTGTAATTTAGTTATATTTAACATAAATGTAATATAATTAATTAAAATTCCGCCTGGTTCACTTTCATTCATTTTTTTAATCCGCCTGCTTCAAAATATTAATTAAACAAACTTTAAATTTCCCAAGTTTATTTTTTTCAAGTTTCTTTATTAAGTTTTTACAAATTGTAATTTTTTCTTTTTCCAACTTGTTCGTTTCGTTACGCTTAACAATATTTATTTTATTTAAATTCAGCCTGTTTCAAGTTTATTTTCTTCAAGTTTATTTTTTTTCTTGCTTCAAGTTTTAATGATAAATTGCTTAAATTAATTAGTATTACCCCTAAAAAATAAAATATTAACACACAAATATTTATTTAAAAAATTTTTTTCTTCTAAAAATTTTTTTCTTTATTTCTAATTATTTTTTACCTTCTTCCCCCTCAATAAATATAACTTAAAAAATAATAAATTTTCAGTCATTAATTATCTAACAAAATATATTCTCTATTTATTTGTTTTTTGCTTCCAACCCCCCTTCTATTCTCTTAAAAAAATACTTTTTTAGTCCCCCACTAAATTATTTTTTGGACTGACAAGAAAATTAATGAGAGAAGGAAAGTTTTCATTTTCTCAATCAAGTTTTGTCAGTTAATTAAAATTATATCTTTTTAGTTTCTTTGAAAAGTGTATATAAATTCTACTAGAAAATTTACTAAAAATTTTTAAAATTTTTAAAGAAAATATTTTCTAGTTTAGTCACCTCTATATGAAGACTTTAAATGCTGCATATTTTTCTTTTTTATTTATATAAACTTTACTAAAAAGCTAATTCTTTAATTAGTCAGTCATTATGCAGCAACAACAAACTTAACCTTTCCCTCTTAACATTCCTAGTCATTTAAATATACAAGTCTATTTTTAGAGCATTAATTATGTAGCTGATAAAATTACAAATTGTAAAGTTTATTTGTAAATTGTAATTTTTAAATTAGCTTGTATCACGGTTGTATCTGTACTATTAAATCCGCCTGTTTCAAAAAAAATCCGCCTGTTTCATTTTATTAGAAAAAAGTTGCAATTGTAATATTTTACAAATTGTAATTTTTTTGTAAAATCCGCCTGTTTCAACTTAAATCCGCCTGCTTCACCTTATTAAAAGAAAGTTGCATTTGTAATATTTTACAAATTGTAATTTATAAATCCGCCTGCTTCATCTTATTAAAAAGGTTGCAATATACATAAATAAGCTTGGTTTATATTAGTAATTAAATCCGCCTGTTTCAACATTTCTCTCCTTTACTAAATAATTCTTTTTAAAACCTTGTTAATAGTAATAAAGTCATTTACTTGCTTCTGCTAGTCATCACCCCTCTCTAATCATCCAACAAAAACAACTTTGCCCTTTCATTTGTTTGAGTAAATGACTGGCAAAAATACACCTTTCAGTAATTATTCACACCTTTTATTTAATCGAGCATTTTTTAAGTAAAAAGAAAGAGAAAAAAAGGTTTATTTTTAATGTCTAACATTTATTTTATTCCAAGTTTATTTTTCATAGACACTACATCTATTTAATAGGAGAAATAAACTTTTTCAAGTTTATTTTCTTTTCTCTCTTCCAAGTTTATTTTAGACAGCCATTTTTAACAGGTTATGTTGCTCTTTTTTACGGTTATACGACATTTGAGAACACACGACATTTGCGGATATTGACGATAACTTTTTTTGGACTGAAAATAAAAAGGCATTTTTAATTTTAAAAAATTAAGCTTGAAAATAGGCCCATTTTAAAATAAAAAATATTAAAATTGGTCAGTCTCTGGAAAAGTTATGGTCACTAATATACATTTCCTGCCAACTTCCTTTGTTTTTAGGCCATAACTTGACTTTTTTGTCACAATTTTGTTGGAACTTCATTTCATTTTATGGTTAATTACTAGCTTGTTTTTATGAAAACGAATCCTTCTGTCCATCATTTCTTATCACTAATTTTCTACTTAATTTAATGTCAATTATTCTCAAATGTCGTGTTCTCAAATGTTGCAACCACGCTTTTTTACATGTAAAAAAAGTTTTTATTTTATTTTATTACTCTCTCTTATGTTCGTATAAACACCTATTTAATTTTCTTAAAAAAGAGAGCCAAGTAATATAAAGTCTTTTAATCACCCTAATATACACATTTTATATTTTGTTTTGTTGCGAAAGGACAGTTATTTTTCTAGCCTTATTATTTATTTAGTTAAAGCAAACTTTTTTTTTCTTCTCTATTTTACCCCAACAAACAACTATTTTTTGATTAACTTTATTAGACACTTTTATTCTTAACTAAACAAAATGTTTTGTTTGTTAGTTAATGTTTGCCTATAAATAGGCCAGACTTTTTTTAATAAATGGAGGGGAGATTGAAGCAATAGTAACTTCTATCCAAAAAAGCTATTCCAGTTTAACCTCACTATAAGATACCTCCAATACTAAATATAATCTCTATTTAATATACCGTATTTCTCCTAATAGTGCGACCGTCGGTTTATTTTTCAACCTTCCTCTAGGGGGTCGGTTTATTAGAAGGGGTCGGTCTAATAGAAAGAGTCGCACTATTAGAAGAAATACGGTACTCTTTCTTAAATTTGGTCGGACAATAAGTGGTGTCTAGACAATGCTCTATTTAAGAGATCCTTCTTAAATTAGCTGCCACTGTGTGGAGGGAGCTTCCTAACAATATCTTCCAATTTAAGACACTTTTATTAAGATACCCCTAGTGGAGTATCTTATAGTGACCAACTTTATTAAAAAAATACCTAACTTTTTTCCCCCCTCCTCCACCCAAAATAATCCCCCTTCCTTTTATTTTCCTTCTCATTCTCCTCCTTCCCTTCTCCCTCCCTCCCCTTTTTTAATAATAAATACATTTTAACCAATTTGCGGCTTTTTGATCTTTTTCCTGCTTGGTCAACAACAACAAAAAATATTTAGTTATTATTTATATTCTAAACTATTTAAGGCCACCGCTATAGTCATCTTTTATTTTTGTCTTTTTTAGACATATATTTTTGGCTGTTTTTTGCGCGATAAACTCAAAAATAGCCCCAATATTTAATGTTAAAAGTACCAAAAGAAGGGTTTATACACCTAGGTGACAACTGAGAGCAAAACGACTTTGATTAATTATAACTTTTTTAGTCCTGATCCTATCTGAGTAAATCTTTTATCATTCGAAAGCCCTGGATAAGCGCTATCTTTACTCTGATGGATGGATCAAGTCTGATCAATCTTTAAAATGTTATAGCCCAATAAGTGCAATTATTTGGTGTTTTTCACATTTATTGAGTGGTAACTTTTTAGTAGGCGATTAGACTTGATTAATCCAGTTGGAGAAAAAACAGCGCTTATTCAGAGCTTTCAAATGATAAAAGGTTCGTTCGGATTGGGTAATGCTCGAAAAAGTTATAGCCGATCAAAATCGCCTGGTGCCCGTTCCCGGTTTATTCACTTATGTGGCAATTGATCCCTATTTTTTGTTTTTTTATATTTTTTCCAGAAAATAATTTTTTAATTAGGTTTTTGATTAACTTATGACTTTGTTTCATTCACAAAAAATTTTATAAAAAAGAAGCATCCTCTATTCCCACACCTAATTGTCCCAGACATGTTAGATTTATTACTTATTTAACAAATAAAAAATTGGTTCTGCTATTGACTTTTCTTTTTTTTAATCCGATGACTGAATAAGTGAAAAAAAATAAATGTATTTTATTGTTGCCATTTGAAATTGAATTTTAAAAAATAAAAAATTTTAGCCCAAAATTTTTTTTCTTTTATTTTGAGGTCTTTGGAAAATTTTAAAAATTTTATTGGTACACTAAAATAGGGTTATGAAGTTTGGAAAGCAATAAAAATTAATTTTAAAAATTTTTGAAGCCAGAAAAAGCCTAAACTACTTGATATTCTGTCGGTTCCCTTCGCTCTACTTGAATGTTCCCTTCGCATACCCCTAAACTTGAAATTTACTCTATCTTTTATTTACCAACAATTTCAATTTTAAAAATCTATTTAACTTAAGAAAAAAAATTATTTTTTTTAAATTTAAATGAGTAATATAAGCACAACTACAAAACCTTCCCAGTTGGATGCTCAACATCAAAATAATAATAATAATTTAACTTCTCCCTTATCTCCTTCATTAATGTTTACACAAGGCAATAATAATGGACAATCTGTGAAAGCAAATATGTCTTCCGGCTCTTCACCCCTAGAAACGACGGCAACTTGTTCTACTGGTAATAGTACCTTACATAGTGGGTTTTTATGTCAAAATGCTTCGAAAAAAATTATTAAATCAAAAAGTTTTGTGTTCCCTTCACCCTACTACGTGATTGTTCCCTTCACCCTACTACGTGAGTGTTCCCTTCACCCTACTACGTGAGTGTTCCCTTCACCCTACTACGTGATTGTTCCCTTCACCCTACTACGTGAGTGTTCCCTTCACCCTACTACGTGAGTGTTCCCTTCACCCTACTACGTGATTGTTCCCTTCACCCTACTACGTGAGTGTTCCCTTCACCCTACTACGTGAGTGTTCCCTTCACCCTACTACGTGAGTGTTCCCTTCACCCTACTACGTGAGTGTTCCCTTCACCCTACTACGTGAGTGTTCCCTTCACCCTACTACGTGATTGTTCCCTTCACCCTACTACGTGAGTGTTCCCTTCACCCTACTACGTGAGTGTTCCCTTCACCCTACTACGTGATTGTTCCCTTCACCCTACTACGTGAGTGTTCCCTTCACCCTACTACGTGAGTGTTCCCTTCACCCTACTACGTGATTGTTCCCTTCACCCTACTACGTGAGTGTTCCCTTCACCCTACTACGTGAGTGTTCCCTTCACCCTACTACGTGAGTGTTCCCTTCACCCTACTACGTGAGTGTTCCCTTCACCCTACTACGTGAGTGTTCCCTACAGAAATGTTCCTTCACCCTACCCAAATGTTCCCTTTACATTTAAAATTTTTCATTTGCTTCTCTATATCACTTTATTAGCAATTTTATAGGCTTCTTCCCGCAACTATTGTTTCCCCCTCCAATGATCCCCTCTTCATCTTCCACCTCTTCCGCGTCTTCTTCTTCAGCCTTTGTTTCTTCCTCTACTCCCCAAAATCGTTTATTCCCCATTTCTTCTTCAACTTCCGGCGCAAATAGAAGTGAGTTTGTCGCTTCTCCAATAACTGGACAACAACAACAATATTTAAATGGGGACGGAAATGGAGGCGGTCTCTTTGGTAGTAACACAATTTTACCACCACCACCACATCAATTTTCATCATTACAAGTCTGTTTTAAATAATTAAAAGAAGAGAAGAATTTTTGGATTTTTTTTAAAAATTTTATTAATTTTCGAAATTACGAAATATTTTCGAAAAGACTTTCGAAATTTCGAGAAAGGCTGAATAATTGACATTTTGACATTTACTTATTATTCAGCAACTTCAACAACAAAATCTACTTTTTCAACGTCAACAACACCAAATGCAGCAATCCCAACAACAACACCGTCACAGCCCCCGGCTACATCATCCATTCCAACACCAACCAAATCCTCCCCAAATTGACAATCATCAACAACAACTTTGGTTTAATTTACTTTCTGCTATAGCTCTAGGACATTCAAATGGTCTGCCAACAGCTTCTACTAGTGATTTATCTCAACAACAACAAACAATTGGAGGAACGGATATACGTTCTTTTGCTGCTGAGAAAAGTGGGTGTTTTTATATTTTTTGTTTTTATTTCTATGAAAACATCTATTTATAAAAATGATAAAGCATCTATTAAAACATGGTACATTTTAAATAAACATATCAATTTAATCCTAAAAACATCCCTTCATTGCTATCTAATAAACATAAAAACATCAAACAAACAAGCATTAAAACATGTTCACCGAACATTTTATTTTATCTAAAAACAATGTTTTTCTAAAAATGTTTTAAACTTTAATGAACATCTAAAACACCCTAACCATATTTTAACATTTATTAAAAAATCTTTAAACAAAACATCTAAACTAAAATTCTAAAAACATTCACAAAAACATATAAACAACCCATACAAACAAACATCTAACAAACAAAACACAAAACATTTTCCAAAACATCCAATAAAAAACATCCATCAAAACATTTAAATTAATTACTATAAACATGTTTATTTTAAAAACTTTTTACAATTGTAAAATGTTTTCCTGAAGACCGGAAGTCTTTTTAAAGTTTTCACATATCCTTGTAATTAATTAAAACAAATCTCTTTTTTTAAAGAAAATAAATGACCGGCGGAAACTTGGGAAGATTTTTTGTTTCTTTTTTATAAAAAATATTCCTTTAAATTGTTGCGAAAAGCGCAAAATATTTTCAAAAAAAATAGACGAAGCTAATATTTGTATGTTTTTAGCAATTAATTTTCTTTCTTTTTTTAAATGAAATATTGAATATTTTCCCATTTTTCTTTTTAAATGACCGGAATTAGTAAATAGACAAATTGTTTTTAATAAAAATGAGAGATTTTTGGATGAAGGAAAATTTTAAAAAAATTAAATATTTTCCCTTCAATATGTTCACAAAAAATTAAGAGTATAAGATTCTAAGATACATATACTATTTGTAATTGTAAAACTTAAAATTTAATTGCAAAACAGGCGGAAATATTATAACGTTTGTTATTATTTTACAAATTAATATTTCCGCCTGTTTTACAATTAATAAACTTAAAGTTTTGTTGCAAACTTTATTACAAATGTAAAATGTTTCCGGAAAATTCCGGAAGTCTTTTAAATTTTTTCATTTCCTTTTCATGTTTTTATTCTACCTGTTTTACAATTACAAATAAAAAGTTTATTTTGTAATTCAAGTTTATTTTTCAAACCTTACAAAAATGGCTAATGATTCATATTTACATAGCTTTTTAAAAAAAACTTTTTTTGTTTAAAAATGTCAAAAATTTAAAGATGAAAGTGAAAATTTGTACTAAAAGCATTAGAAAAGGGAAGCTTTTTTAAATTAAAAGGAAATAAATAAAAGGTGTTTTTTGTTGTTAAAATAACTTTCCCTTGCCATTTTTTGTTTTGCTTCACTTTCGCTTTCAATGACGCATTCTTTTTAAAGAAAATATTTTTTGTTATTTTTTAGATTAATCTTTAACTCGTCATTTTTTAAGTTCTTTTTATTGTAAAATCTACTATTTACTGATTGGGTGAAAATAAGAAAGAATAACTTTTCTCTACAGTAACCCCTCCTTGTTTAATATACTACTTTTAAATGTTTATGGGGAAAAATTGTTAATTGTAAACTATAAGTTTGTAAACTTAAAATAAATTGAAGAGTTTTTAAAATAAAAAGAATTAATATTTCCGCCTGTTTTACAATTTGTAATAATGCTTAGTTGTTCTTCTTACTATTAAATAAACTTGAGCATATTGTGAAAAGTAGAAACAAAACTTGATTGTAAAACTTGTTTATTTGAGAACATTTTATTTTCAAGTTTGTAAAACTACTAATTCCGCCTGTTTTTAGTAAATTAAATATTCCCGCCTGTTTTACAAACTTGAAAATGTTTTTACAATTCTTAAGTGTATAAGTAAACGATTGTAAAACTTGTTTTATAATCAAGTTTTTATTTTCTACAATATGCTCAAGTTTATTTTTAAAAGTAAGAGAACAACTAAGCATTATTATAAATTGTAAAACTTTTAATTATTTTTCCGATTAAAGTTTTAAATGTAAAACGGAAGTTACCACACAAGATAATAAAAATATGTAGAGAGAATATTTTGAGTGAGGGCAATTATTTTATAAAATATATTTTTTTATAAAGTTTAAGGATAATTTGTTATTTTCTTAGAATTGCGTAAAATTATATGGTTAACTAAAAACAACTCTGTTGAAGCGTAAAATAAAAATGATCAAATTGTTAGTGTTTTTAATTTAAAAATTTTTATTTGAAAAAAATAAAAGTTTTGTTTAAATTTGAGGGATGTTTGGATTTATGTTTGTTGTGGAAGGATGTTTGTTGTGTGTTTGGATTCGTGTTTGTTTTTATTTTCCTTTTCCAAACATTTGTTTTGTTTATTTGCATTTGTTTTGTTTGCCATGTTTTTTTTGTTTGTTTGTTTATTTGTTTGTTTTGTAAGTTGTAAAATAAATGTTCGGAATTGTAAAAACATTTTATTTTAAGGTTTGTAAAACTTTAATCGACGAAACTATTATTCCAAACATAAAGTTTGTTTAATTTTAAGTTTTGTTGTTTGTTTGTTGTTTTGATAGATGTTTTTATTTTTATTTAATTAATGTTTGTGTTTTTAGATGTTTTGTTTAATTTTTTTTCTCCTATTCTGTTTGGAAAAACTAAGTTTTCCTAAATGTTGAGGGGTGTTTGGATGTTTGGATTAAAGTTTTTTTATTTTCTTCCTCAAACATGGTTTTCCAAGCACTTTGTTTTGTGTTTGCATTTGTTTTGTTTGGCAAAGTTGTGTTTTTAAAGTGAACATTTTTGGGGTCATTAATTAATATAATTGAAGAAATTAGTTTATATTTAAATAAGAAGTTTAGATTACTAGATTAAATCTTAAGATAACTTTTTTAATTTGTGACCTATTATTTTTATATCTTTTTTTTTTAATTTTTTTTGTTTTTTTCTTAGGCTAAAATATTTATTAGTGCCCCACCGGCCAGTAGGATTCCTTTGAGGACTATAACTGCTGTGAGTAGTCGTCGACCGTACTTGGTCTGTATAAATTTTTATTAAGAATTTTTGTGAGATGATTAAAAATAAAGAGAAAGATCGTAATTTTTCATCAAGTACAAAAAACCTTTTTTATAAACGAAATATCGAGAATTTAAGATTAAAAAATAGAAGGAGATTAATAAAAACAAATAGAAAAATTATGCTACTTTTCTTCAATTACTCTTCCCTTATTCATCTTCTTCATAAAAATACTCCTTTATTTTTTAATTCAATTCTTTTTTTTCTTTATTCTTTTCCATGTGCCCGTAATTCATGCCGCGTTTTGTGTGAACAAAAAAAAAGAGCGGCAGAAATTGACCAATCTTTCTATTAAGCTTTTCTTTTCTTTTTTTTCGCCCTCTTGTTGAGGTGTGAATCTCGAAAAAAAATAAAATTTTTGAAAAAATGATGAATTGAGAAAATAAAAAAAGGATAATAAACATTTGAGAAAATAAAGACGAGATTGAGTAAAGAAAAATAATTTTTCTTTAATGAGATTAAGAAAGGATGTACAGTAGGTAGGGAGTCTTTTTGAGGGAGAAAGATAAATGCCGCTTTTTTAAGAGTGAGAAGCTTGTGTGAATGATCTCTCTAAGTAGTTTTAAAAAAATTTTTTTTATTTTTAAAGGAAAATGAAAAAAAAATTATTAAAAGAACGAGAAATTAAATTTAAAAAATTTTTAATTTAAAAGTTCCCCCCCCCCCCCCCATCCTATTTCCCCCTTATTTTTGATCATTTTATGGATGATTGAACACACACTCACTTCTCTATAAAAACTTGGTTTTTTTTAATTTTTATATTAAAATGAGCATCCAAGTTTTAAATTAGTTAGAAAATCGCGCAAAACCAATTAAACTACATCTACCTTTATTTAAAAAAAAGATTGAGGAAAGAAAATGTTTCTACGCTTCATCGATGAAGCGTTATTTTTATTTGTTTATTTGTAATTACAAAAGTTTCAAGATATAAATGAAACCTAGAAACTTAGAAACTAATTATGTTTTTGTATGTTTTGGTACTTGAAACTTTTTTGAGTTTTAATTTATGTTTGCAACTTTTTTTAAGTTTGATCTCAAGTTTATTTATTTTTAGTTCAAGTTTAATCTTAAAAATGTTTTATTTGTTTTTCAAGTTCAGTCTTAAGTTTTAAGTTTATTTTAATTTTAAGTTCAATCTTAAAAGTTTATTTTTAATTTGAGTTCAAACAAGTTTATTTATTTTCAAGTTTGTGCTTAATTTCAAGTTTATTTGTTTTTAACTCCAAGTTTATTTATTGTAAACTTAAGTTTTTAAGTTTGCAATAAAAATAGCGCTTAAACTTTAACCAACAATTTTTTACTGTTTTATCGCTAAAACTGTAAATTAGAAAACTATTCAAGTGTTTAACAAAAAAGTCCAAAAAAAATCTATTTTCTCACAGACGATAAACCAGTCATTTTGGCGCTTATATTTTTATAAAAAAGTGTAAATAAATAAATGTATATAATTTAATACAGGGGAACAAAACGCGCGAAAACTTTTTTTTGTTTTTTAAATGGTTGAATAAATATTATAAAATAAATAATTGGTATTTTGAATGATTGGTAATTTAGGTAAATAAATTGAAAATTTGGTTGTATTGTAAAACTAAAAAATAAAAAGCAAGAAAAGATACATAAGATGGACATAAAGAAGAAGACACAAACTTAAATTAAAATCTTAAATTAATAAATATTATAAAATAATTCAAACTTAATAAATAAACTTAAATAAAACTTGAGATATTACTTCTCTCATTATTTAAATTAAAACGCAACTTAAATTAAAATTAAAACTTAAGTTTGCAATTCTTGAAACTAATATTTTGGCTTATTTTAGCATTCTTTACTTAATATTATTGAATTATGTTTTTCCTTAATTGAAAAACAAAAACAATGACTTCTGCTATTTTTAAGTAAAAAGGATAATAAATTTCAAGTCAGAAGAAATGAAATAAGTACTTCTTGTATAATATAAGAGACAGGTGCGCGTAAATTACTTCTGTTCTTCATTTTTATTATCATTTTTTTTATTTTCACCAAAATATTTTTATTTTATTTATGCAAAACTCCAAAAATGGAGAGAGATAATTGTGTTTTTTGATTTATTTATTTTTATTTTACTATTTTTGTAGCACTAACTAAGGTTTTGTTTTGACAAATGACAGGAAAAATAAAGCAAATATGAAGGTGTAAGCAGGTGTGAAAAAAAAAAAAAATTAAAAATAAAATAAATATTTAAGTAATTAATTGTGTAATACTTACTTGGATTAAATATTTGGAAACAATCTTAAGTTTTGATTTAAATTTGCATTTTTTATGTTTATGTTTAATTTAATAATAAGTTCAATCTTAAGTTTACAATTTATTTTAAACTTAATCTTAAGTTCTCAAGTTTATTTATTCCAAGTTTAAATAAACTTAAGTTTAAGCTTAAATATATTCAAGTTTAATTTAGTTTAAGTTAAGTTTAATCTTAAGTACCTTAAAGTTTATTTAATTTAATTTAAGTTTACAATCTCTTCAAGTTCGAGCTTAAGTTTAATTCTTAAGTTTATTAATTGTCTTATTTACATTCAAAGGTTAAGCTCCATTAACAATCATCTTCTATTCTATTTTCCACATTGTCTCGTTTACAAAATAAACTTACAACTTTAACGTCAAAATTAAAAATACTTTAAACTCTTTTGGGAATTTCTTTCAAAATTTATTTTTTCAAGTAATTTTCTTCCCTTTTTTAATCAAATTTTGGAAGAAAATTATAAAAAACTTTTTCGGCTTTTCTTTTTATTTAAAAGTTCTTTATTGCTATATTGGGAGTTGAACTAGTATAAAATACAATTGACTTTCTTTAAAGTGTAAAAAATAAAGAAAATACTCTTTAAAAAAGGTTAAACAATTGAAAAATATCTAAAGAATGTCCTCCTTAGGGAATTTTGTTTGATGTTTATAATAAAATAAAATTAATTTTCTTTCTTTTCTTGCCCCCAAGTTTCTTTAATATTAAAAACTTTAAGTTGTTTATTTTCTTGGAGATAAATAAAATTAAAACAAAAAAGTAAAAGGTGATAAAAAAATTATTAAAAAAAAAATAAATAATAATAATTAAAATAGAATATTAAAACATAAACTTAAAGAATAAATAAATTCAAAATTGAACTTAAATTAAATTTATGCTTAAATTTGAAGAAATCGCAAGCTTAACTTTTAAATAAACTTGGAAAACTTAAATAAAATTAAACAAACTTAAAATTAAACTTAAATAGACGAATGAACTTAAGACTGAACTTAAAATAAAATAAGCTTAAATAAACTTAAGATTGAACTTAAAACCTCATTAGTTAATTGTAATAATAAATTTTCCGGAACTCTTAATATTTCCGGTTCTTTTAATTTTTTCGGAACTCTATTTCACGAATGTTTTGCAATTATATATTCTGGTCCTTCCTCATTATCTTAATAAGATTTTTTATAATCTAAAAATTAAATTTTTTAAATTTAAAGAGTTAGAACGCGATTCTGATGGAAATGCCTTATGCCCTGCATGTCACGAAAAGATTGGAAAAGATTCTGCTCAATGGGCAAAACATTTAGACATGGAAAGGGGAAAATTACAAAAAGCTATTCAATGGTGAATTTAAATTTTTTTGAAATTAAAAAAAAATTTTTAAAGTTTACGCGAAAGAACGGCAAAAACAAAAATGTCAGAAACTGAAAAGATTGAAGATATTAATTTTCAACCAAATTTGTTTAGAAAAACAAGTAATGGAAGTTGTAGTGGACGTGAAGCTCTTTTAGATAGAGTTCGTTGTAATCAGCGCAGACGGATGGAAGGTGTTTATTTTTAATATTTATTGTCCAGATTAGTCAAGAATATATAATTTAAATAAGTTTTCTGGAAGGAATTTTTATTTTGATTCTTCCGGAAATTTTTAATGAAGGTTTTCGGAAGTTATATTTTCCGGGTAGGAAATAGGAGTGGGAATTTCGAAACAATTTGGGCCATAATTTTTTTGATTTTCAACCGATTTAAATAATTTTTATATCAACCGAAAGCTCTGGATGTGGGGATTATTTTAGTTAACTGAATCGATCTGATCAGATCATCCTACTAAAAATTACATATGAGTATCTGTGCGCAATCGCGATTTTTGATATTTATTCGTCTATAACTTTTTATAAAATAATCTGATCAAATTAATCCTGTCGGCTAAAATAATCCTCAGATCAAGAGCTTTCGAATGATATAATAACTATTTAAATATTGAGAATCAAAAAAGTTATGGCCCAAAATATGACCTCAACTTAACCTTTATTTTTAGCAAAATTAGAAACTCAATTTCTTCATCACCTAACATCATCAACCACTACAAGTGCTCCATGTACTACTGATGAGTCTGTTGATTCTATAAATACAAATAGTGCCTTAAACAATACAAATAATAATGTTATTGATGAAAATAGAATATTAGAGTCGTCAAACAGTGACCAAATGGAGGTAAGAAAAATCAGAATTATTTTTAAAATCAAAAGTATTTTAATCAAAATTTTATTTAGTGGAAACAACATTCGTTATCTTCTAATAAATTTGAATGTAAAAATGAAACAGGCACATTTACAACAAAGAATGAACCTGAGGATGTTTCTGAACAATTAGAAGCAACAACAACATGTTTTTCTTGTCAGGTGTGTTTTGTTTTAATGTTTTTATTAAATCAGAATTTTTAAAAACATTGTTAAACAAATAAATAAAACATTATCAGAATTTGAAGTAAACAATGTTTTTAAAAAATTCTGATTTAATAAAAACATTGTTTCTTTAAATTCTGATAATGTTTTATTTTTAAAAATCAGAATTTTTTAAAAACATTGTTTATTTCAAGTTCTGATAATGTTTTATTTGTTTTTAAATCAGAATTAATTTACTAAAATAATCAGAATTAAATCAGAATTTTTAAAGATCATTTCTGAAACAAATCAGAATTTTTTTCAGAATCAGAATTATTTTTCAAATAATCAGAATTTTCTCTTTTTAGCGAATTTCTGACTGTCTAGTATTAAATATTCGTTCAAAAATGGTTCGATGTATGGAATGTTTCCAACAAAAACAACAAACATTGTTTAATAATACCAACAACAACAATAATGAAAATGGGTTTGCTGCTGTTTTGGAGGGATTGGTTAATTAATTTTATTTAATTAAAAAATTTTATTTTCAGCAGCAAAGCATTGAAAACAAAAAGAAACGAATTTCCCCTCCATTTTCGGCATTAGAATTGGCTTCTTCTCCTGGGGAAATGTTTGGAGGAACAAAGAGGACGAGAGTAGAAAGTGAACATTGAAATTAATTGAAAGAATATTTTTTTAAAAATAAAATAATTTTAAACACATTACTATTCTCTTAATAAATATGTACCTAAATATTTATATTGTTTATATATTAAATGTGGCTGTTTAAAAATTTAATTTTGAGAAAATTTTCTATTAACCCTCAGGCTATTTGAATTTTTGGAAAGTCGACATTTCAGAACATCGTATGCGTGAACCGACATTTGGAAACTAGTCATTTGTGTAAACGACAGTTGCAAACTCGACCTTTGAGTATCGACATTAGTGCAAGATATTTGGATAGAATATCACATTTTAGGAACCTTATAAATATTTTGGCCCTATCCCAATATAAGGGCGGAATCGTTTTTTTCCATTACTTTTCATTACTTTATAAAAATGGTCAATTTTCCTTAAAGTTGATGTATGTTGATGTTTGCCTTAAGGAAGAATGGAGGACAGACAATGACAGAAACACGGACGTCTGTCCGAGTCTGCCCGTGTTCGTCCGAGTTTTGTCTGTTTTGTCTGTCCGTGTTCGTCCGTGTGTTGTCTGTCTGTGTCCGGACGTGTGTCGTCTGTCCGAGACCATCCGTGTTTTGTATGTCCGAGTCCGTCTGTGTTTTGTCTGTCCGTGTTTTGTCTGTCCAAAACACGGACGGACTCGGACAGACAAAACACGGACGAGCACGGACTGAAAAACACGGGCAGACTCGGACAGACAAAAACGGACACACACGTCCGTGTTCTGTGTACGCCGTGTTTCTGTCATTGTCTGTCCTCCATTCTTCCTTAAGGCAAACATCAACATACATCAACTTTAAGGAAAATTGACCATTTTTATAAAGTAATGAAAAGTAATGGAAAAAACGATTCCGCCCTTATATTGGGATAGGGTCAATATTTTTATATATAAGTAGTAAAAATAAATAAAAATTTAACAAAAAAATTTATTTATTTGCATTGTCACAATAATGCATACAAACGATAAAATAAAATACAATATATAACAATGCCAAAAAACAAACAAAAAATTAAATAAAAAATTGGTTATGACTGTGTAAGGACGGCTTCTTTGATAAATATATAAGTTTAAAATTTGGTAAAATAAAAATATTAAAAATAACAAAATAATTTTTTGAAATATTTTAAAATAAAATAGAATAATTTTGAATATTTAATATGTGTTTAGTTTCCGGAGTTTTAATAATTCTTAGTAAAAATTCCGGAAACTTTAAATTAAAAATAGATGTTTCCGGAAAGTTTTAGAGAATACAATTGTGAAGGTTTTAAATAAAAATTCTGATTATTCCGGAAAGTTTTATGTATAAATAATACCCTTCCGTAAAAGTTGTTTAAAACGAATTCTGATTTTTCCGGAAACTTCTCTATTTTTAAAATTGGAGTTTCCGGAAAGTTTTAAATACTAATTAATTTTTCCGGAAAGTTTTTATTCCTTTCCGGAAGGGTATATTTTATTTAAACTAAAATTCTGATTGTTCTGGAAATATTTTATTTTCAAAATACATTATATGTAAATAAACGAAGAAAAGTGGCAGCAAACAAAAAATTATATAAATTTGGTAGGAATTGAATTTAAAAAAAATAAAATAATTTTTTGATATTTAAATAGATTAACTCATGTAAGACCCATTTTTTGAGAGAAATAAAAAAAAGTGAAGCAAAAATCGAAAAAAAAATTTAAAGAAAAATCATCGGCGTTGTTCAGAAGAAGATTGTGATTGTTCTTGTATAGGGGTTCTTTGTTGCAATGTTTGTGGATTGGAAGAAGAAACATTTTGGTTGTGTTGTTGTTGCCTTCTTAACAATTCTAATTGTTGTTGAAATAAATGTTGTTGGTCTGGAGTTAATTGTTGTTGATTATTGGAAGTAGAATTGTTTATAAGAGAAACATTCTGATGTTGTTGTTGTTGTTGTTGCATAGCCATAAATTGTAAAAATTGTTGCTGAAATTGTTGTTGTTGTTGCTGTTGGAAAAAGGCAGAATTATTATTATTGTTGGTTGATGATGAAGGCTAGAAAAAGAAAAATTAAAAATCAGAAATTCTGATTTTTTAATAAATTCCGGAAAGTTTAATAAAAAGAAATTCTGATTTTAACAAGCTTATAAACTCTTCAGGAAGGTTTGCTAGAAAATAGATGTTTCCGGAAAGTTTTGGAAAATATAATTGTTGATTTCGGAAAGTTTAATGATGAATTTAATTTTTGTCAAGTTTATTTAATTTTACTGTCCGGAAAGTTTATTTTTCTTACGAGTAGAATGTGCATAGACGCTTCCGGAAAGTTTTATATCGAGTGAAATTTAAATTTCCGGAAAGTTTAAGGAAATACATATAATTGTTTATTATTAATAAGTTGGGGAAGAAAAGAATATTTGTACCTGTTGTTGTTGTTGTTGCTGCTGTTGTTGCAAAGCAATTTGAGCAATTTGTTGTGCAGCCATAATTTGGTCATGTCCACTACTTCCTCCATTTGCAGCAGAAACAGCAGCTAAAGCAGCAAATAATTGCTGTTGTTGAGCATTTTGTTGTTGCTGCTGTTGAGCGTGGGCTGCTTGTTGTTGTTTTGCTGCAGCAGCAGCGGCGGCAGCCAGTTGTTTTTGTTGCTGCTGTTGCTGAGCTTGTTGCTGGTTTTGAATGATAACTAAAAAAAGAGGGATCAGAATAAAAAATCAGAAAGAAATCAGAACAAAATCAGAATAAAAAATCAGAAAGAAATCAGAATAAAAAATCAGAAAGAAATCAGAACAAAATCAGAATAAAAAATCAGAACAAAAATCAGAATCAGAATAAAAATCAGAACAAAAATCAGAATCAGAATAAAAAATCAGAACAAAAAATCGAAACAAAAATCAGAATCAGAATAAAAATCAGAACAAAAATCAGAATCAGAAAATAAAATCAGAATGAAAAATCAGAACAGAAAATCAGAATACTCACGTCGAATTTGCTCTTCCAACACCCTCTGATCTTGTTGAGAAAGTCCCGCCCCGCCAGCAGCTAGCACAGCCAACATTTCTTGTAATTGTTGCGGTTGAATGTTAATTGAAGCAGAATTATTATTTTGTGGTTGTTGAAACATATTACAAATTGCTTCCATTTCAGCAGCTAACATAGAAGATTGTTGTTGTTGCTGTTGCAAATTGTTGTTATTCCTTTGTTGTTGTTGTTGTAATGCAGCAAACATAACAGCACGTTGTTGGGCGTCTTTTAAATTATTTGATGCCCCAATTTGAGGAGGTTGTTGGTGTTGTTGAGCCCCGTAAAAAAGTTGCTTCATAAGTGCATCGTTATTTTGCTGTTGGTGAGAAAATTGCTGATTTTGCTGTGGATGCTGATTTTTTAAAGAAGCAGATTCTTTTTTGGATTTATGCTAGAAAAAAAATTTTTGGAAATTACAAAAAAAAAATTTTTTTTGTAATTTTTATTTTCTGATTAAAATTTCTTTTATTTATTCTTTGAAGCAAAAATTTTGAATATTCCGGAAAGTTTAATTTTAAAATTCTGATGTATTAAAATTCTGAAAAAGTTAGTTTTTTAATATTGGTTGCTTCCGGAAAGCTTTATTTGAATAAACATTCTTTCCGGAAAAATTTCAGAAAAGTTGTCTTTTTCCGGAAAAATTCTATTCTATTTTTAAATAACATCTTTCTTTCCGGAAAAAGTTGTGCTCTTAATTATTTGCTATAGCCTTCCGGAAAGATTTAAAGAGAGATTAATTTGGTTCCGTGACTTTTGCGCCGAGAACATTTGCGCCGCGACTTATGCGCCGGACGACTTTTGCGCCGCCACTATTATTAATAATTATGAAAAACTACAGCCTGACCCACTATAGAAGATGTAGGATAGTTGGAGATCTTCGGATATCAAGATCCGGATCCATATCCGAGTCGCGGCGCACAAGTCGCTCGGCGCATAAGTCGCGGCGCAAATGTTCTCGGCGCAAAAGTCGTGATACCATTAATTTAATAATCTCCATTTTTACTATACTCTCTCATTTTAAAAAATTTTATTATCTACCTGAGCAACAGACTGATGAGAAAAATGTTGTGAAGGATTAACAATATTATTATTATTCCCAACACCACCCAATTTATGTTGTTGGTTATTTTGATGATATCCATTAAGTATATGCTGTTGAGGAATGTTTGTACTAGTAGAAGCAACAGATGTTGCTCTTTGTTGTTGCTGTTGTTGAGCATTTTTCTGTTGTTGCTGTTGGCGTTGGAATTGTTCGAGTTGTTGTTTTTGTTCTTGTTGTTGTTGGAGACCAAAAAGAATTCTGAAAAAAAATTTTTTGTAAGGTATTTCTAACTACAATATAAGATACACTCAATCAGAAACACAGTTATATAAGAAATCATCAAACTGGATACATCTTAAAATAAGATATCCCCTATAATGACACACCTCCCCAAGGAGTCAAAATTAAACTCACTGCATTTGCTGCATTTGAAGCATTTGTTGTTGCTGGGCAACAATATTAGGTGTTGGAATTGGAGCTGAAGAAGTGTTTGTTGTAGCAGTTGAGGCTGCTGATGCAGAAGGAGGTGCAAGAGACTGTTGTTGTTGCTGCTGCATATGAAACATTGTTTGTAATTGCTGAACAAGGCGAGGATCACTTCCCATAAGCATTTGCATAAATATAGCCTAAAAACATAATATAATAACGCCTATAAAAATTCTGATATTTCCGGAAATGTTTCAAGTTTATAAAAATTCTGAATTTCCGGAAAAAGTTTTAAGTTTATAAAAATTCTGGTCTTTCCGTTTTTCCAGAAGCAAGACAAATAAGATAAAATAACAAACATTCTCCTGCTGTTGTTGTTGCTGTTGATGTAATAAAGCTGCAGCATTTGCTGGTGTTTGATTCACAAGCGGAGTTAAAGCAGCCGGCTGCTGCAAATTTTGTTGATTTATTAATTGATGATGATTTCCCCCAATTGCAACAAGTGGGTGTTGTTGTTGTTGAGGTTGTTGGAAAGCTTGTGGAGTAGTCAATGAAGTTGAAGCAGGCAATGTTGTTGAAGCAGAAGGGAGAGTAGAAGAAGCAACAGAAGAGAAAGTTGAAGAGACCTCATTTGACTGTTGAGGAGCAGCAAAAGAATTAAATTGGGAGAGTATAGGGCCTCCTCCGGGCATATTTACAATATTGTTTCCAGGAAGCAAAGTTCCATTTAAAATCATTGGGTGATGCAAAGCAGCAAGTTGTTGCTGTTGATTATTACCAGAAACACAAGGAATAGTAGCTCCATTTGGAAGATAAACTAAAGAAGGCTGTTGTTGATGTTGTTGTCCACCAAATTCAGCAGGCATTTCCATCTTTTTTAAAGGTTGAACGACTGGAATAGAAGCAACATTCATCTGTTTATGTTGCTGTTTTGCTGCTCTTTCCTGCTCTTTTTTTAACCGTTCACGTTCTCGCATTTGTAAATTATGTCTAGCACGTTCTGGAGACTCCAAATAAGCAATGTCTGTACGGGCACAAGTTAAACCAGAAATTCGTTTTAATCGACGTTCCAAAATTGTTCGAGATTCGATGGTTATCAACTGAAAATCGAAAATTTATTTTTGTATTGAGAATTAAAAAAAAGTTTTCTGTCAATTATTTTCGCTAAATTGTTTCAAGTTTAATTGCTAAACTAACTTTTTAGGTTTGATCTTGAATTTAATTCTTAAGTAAATTTAAAGTTTGACTTAATCATATGCTTAAACTTAAGTTTAATCTTGAAGTTAAGTTTGATATTAAGATTTTATTTTAAATGAAAATGTTTTTCTGTTCACTAAGTTCAAGTCTAATTGCCTACTTTAATTTTATGACTTCTAAAATACCATGATTATTTAATCAAAGATTTAAAAAAAATAAACAAATTTAGAATTTACACACCTTTCCTTTACTGTCCATCTTCCCCTCAGCAGTTCTATAAATTTCTGTTGAATCCACTTCACCCAACGGACCACAATCTTGTTCCCATTCTTTTTTATTTTCCTCCTCCTTTTCATCCCCCTCCTCATCATCTGAAGAAACAACACAAATAATTGTTGTATTATTTGAAGGTTCTTCTTCTTCCCCTCCTACTCCTCCCACAATTTTACAACTCTCTTCCTCTTCTTGTTGTTGTTGACTTGTTTGTTGTTGAATTTGTTCAATTATTTCATTTTTAATCTCTTCTTTATTAGTTTCCAAAGGCTCTACTTTAGCTACCGGTTTACGACTTATTATTGTTGCAGCTCCAACTGGGGGAGAATTTTTTGGTGAAGAAACTTGGGAAGTTTCAATATTTAATTTTGAATGTTTTTCTGATTTTTTGTGTTTTGAAGGCAAATCATCGGCTATTTGTTCTTCTTTCGGATTAATACAAGTTTCGATTATTGGAGAAGGCAAGGTACTAGTTGTTGTGTTTTCTGTAGCAGGCTGGGGAGTTACTACACCCGCATGTGAATCAGCACGTTCCAACTGTAAATTATATGTGGGTAATTTTAATTTAAAATTGTTTGGGTTTTGTAAACTTATGTTTTTAAGATTGATCTTAAACTCAGGCTTCTATGTGTATAAAATTAATTTTTAAGTTTAATCTTTATAATAAGTTGTTTCAAAGTTGTGACCTTAAATTTCTAAGATTGATCTTAACTCAAGTTTGTTATCTTAAGGCTTAAGTTTGATCTTAAATTTTAATTTGTAAACTCAAGTTTTTAAGTTCGATCTTAAAGAGTTAACTTAAAACCTAATTTTAAGCTTGATTTTCAAACTTAAGTTTGTAGACTTAAGTTTTTAAGATTGATCTTAAACTTTGATTTTTAAGTTTGATATTTAAGTCTATTTTTTAGTTCGATCTTAAAGTTTAATATTAAGAATTAAATATTTCTTATTCTCGAATCATAAAGAATTATATATTTTTACAAAGCTTCATAAAAACCCACCTTCACTTTTTTAGCACTATTATCATCACTACTTTCAATCTTATCTTTACTAATCTTTTCTTGTTTTAATTTTTCTTTTTTAGATATTCTCTTTCTAGTATTATTATTACTATTCTCATTTAGTTCATTATCTTCTTTTACAACATTTACTGTTGTTGTTGGAGGTGAAGGAGTACGAGAATCATCTGCTGCATTAGAATGTAAAGAAGATGGGGGAGATGTTGTTGTTGTTGTTGTGGTTGCTACATTTCCTTTTTTAGACCTCTTTCCTTTTGGTGGGGTTGGGGTAGATTCATCATATAACTGAAAAAAATTATTTTTTAGGGTTGGGGAATCCACTCTTGGGGAATCCACTTGGGGAATCCACTCTCTCTATACTCCCCTTAGCCTCGTTCCGGTCAACATGCAATCAAAATTTGTGTCCACTGCCCAATTTACCGCTTACTCCCCAAGTTTCTCCACTTCCCAAGTGCCCACTCCTAAAATGTCCGGACAAGTTTCAAAAAAACTAACAGAATCTCCTCCTCTATTATTATTTCCACCACGCTTTCGACCCGTTTTCCCAGCAGAATTTCTTAATGGAGTGCTTCGTCTCTGTTGTTCTTCTTCTAACTTTTGTGGAGTTCCTCGAAGACGTTGTTCTCCTCCACTTTCCAACAAATCTAAAGAACTAGGCGTTCTTTGAGGCAAAAGCCTACTTCCTCCCCCTCTCGTTCTCAAACGATTTGAACGTCCATTAAAAGGTTCTTCATTCTCATCCTCTTCTTCGCTGTCTTGCCTCGAAGTTGTTGTATTTGCTGGCATTAAAAGACATGGGGGAACAGTGCTAGGCCTTTCCACTGGCCGAAGTTGTCCATATCTCTTGTAAAATATTCGGCATTCTGTGCACATTAAAAGTAAACGGTCGTGGCCTGCGTGGTGCCAATCAACTGATTCTTTAAATTTTGGAAAATTTTGAGAAAATTTTTTTTCAATTTTTTACTTGAGGAGAAACAATGATGACATGCACGACCAACGCCTCCCGGTTGTGAATCAAGCTGCTCTGTTTCTGCTTCTGAAGCGCTTGCATAATCTTGAAGTTCGTCAAGTGGAGAAATTGAACTTAAATGGGGAATCAATTAATTTTAATAATCATTTATTCCGGAATCATTATTTCCAGAAAAATCAGAAATGTTTCCGGAAAAATCAGAAATGTTTCCGGAAAAATCAGAAATGTTTCCGGAAAAATCAGAATTGTTTCCGGAAAAATCATAATTGTTTTCGGAAAAATCAGAAATGTTTCCGGAAAAATCAGAAATGTTTCCGGAAAAATCAGAATGTTTCCGGAAAAATCAGAAATGTTTCCGGAAAAATCAGAAT